AAACATCAGCTTTAAGAAATGACTGAGGGGAAATCAAATAAAGTAACACCAATAAATTGCAACACCAACAAAAAAAACTCCTCATGTGTTTTAATCCACAAACTCTCTTCAGCTGAACCTGAGCAGCTGTGTGCACACAGGTGGAGGATGTCTGAGGGATCACCTCACAGCCGGCGCAGACAGAAGGGACCTCAGCACACACACACACACACACACACACACACACACACACACACACACACACACACACACACACACACACACTCTTTACCTGAACACACGTGAGAAACTTTTAATCCTGCAGGACGCTGACACAGACACCTGCTGCTCCACAGGAAATGAGGTCACAGCTTCATTATGCAGATATCCTGTCTGTGTCACCTGCGCCCTCTTTGTGTGTCTGTGTGTGTGTGTGTGTGTGTGTGTCTGATCTTAGGTAAAGAGCCTGACTGACCTGCTTACACACACACACACACACACACATGCAAACGAACACACACACACACAGCAGGTTATCTCCACATGGTTAGTGTGTTTTTATGATGAAATATTGAAGAAACAGAGGAGGAGGAACATTGTCAGTGTGTGTGTGTGTGTGTGTGTGTGTGTGTAAATTTAGTGGGTGTGTGTGTTTCCATGTGTGTGTGAGTGTGTGAGTTAAACTTTACTGTCTCTTTCATAACCGACGTGATGAAATCAGAGGCCAAGTGTCTGACTCAACTATGGTCCGCTACGAGAACACACACATTCACACACACACACACACACACACACACACACACACACACACACACACACACACACACACTCGCCCTGTCTCTCTCCATCACACAATTTCTGATTCACACTGTCCTCATTCTCAGGATGACCACCTGCACGAACCCCTGTGCAGCTGTTACTCTTGCATATTTGATCTGCACCTGAGTCAGGCTGTGTGTGTGTGTGTGTGTGTGTGTGTGTGTGTGTGTGTGTCTACTCAGCCGTGTTCGGGTGGTCTCTCCCTGCTGCAGGGCATGCTGGTCTATCGAGCCTCGGGGGGCTCCTGCTGAGTTTAATATTTGGCTAACAGAGCGAGCGTTAAAGACGGTTTCAGCTTCAGGGAGGCTGAACGTTCAGGCGGTGGTCTGAGTGAACTTTAAAGCTCTTTCTGTTTTATATCACTTCAAGTCTCTCACCTGTTATGAACATCCCCGTTTACAGGGACTCTTATACTTGTACTTCACATGAACATTTTCTGCATACTCAAAAATGTTCTCCTTTTTATGTCTTTTGGAAATAAATGAGCTTTTCCTCCTCTACATTTCTCTGACCTTTATTTACCTCTCAGATCACAGTCTCTCAAAACCTCGCTGTCCAATGAAGACAAATGTGGTGAGTTTGTATCTCTCTTTGTGATTAGCGGAAGAGTTCATGGTGTTTCACTGATTCATACAACTTCTTATGATTAAACAGAACCATTGAGGGGTCATAAGTTCAGAAGCCCAATAAACAGAGGCCACAGCACTTCATTCATTTAACCCCCATAACGAGGACTGAGCTGATTTTCAGCCATCTTTCAGATTAAGGTGTATCATGTGAAAAACATGTGCATTTTTTTAACCAGAGTTCCCCGTCTGTGGTGCAGCTCGATGAAGTCATAAAATGTAGTGTCTCAGGGGACGGGTCTTCTGAGCGTCCCAAAGGTCAGGAAGAAGACAGTTGGTGAGCGACACTGTAACAGTTTACCTCTGGACATCTGGCAGGCTTGTTCTGTTGAGGTATTTAAAGCTAAGCTAAAGACCCATCTGTTTACTGTTGTGTATGAGTCATGATTTCTCTGTATGTTTCTCTGAGAGCCCGATTGTGTTTTAAGTGTTTTTAGTTTCTGAAATGTTTTTTGTACTCACTTTTGTACAGCACTAGAGCACTATATAAATAAAAGTATTATTTATATGATAGTGTTCTTCCAGTATCAGCACGTTATTTGAAGACTTGAAATGAGCTCGGACCGGGCTGCTGGTTTATCTCAGTCAGTAGAGCAGACGGAAAAATGACAGAAGCTACTGTTCTCGACTGCAGGTGCGGCTCTTAACCACGGCCCTGTGACGCATATCTACCCCGCTCTCTCTCCTCTCCACACTTCTTGTTTCCTGCAGCCAGGCCCAGTTCGACGAGGGTCCAAAAGGATGCACCCTCATTTTAAATGTCTGCATCCTCAATTCAATGGATGCAAAGTAATAATAACAACATTTTTGATTCACAAGAAAGTAAAAAATGCTTTCAAATGACAACAGTGACCCAGATCCTGATTTTTTTACCTCCATGTTCTGATGGTCAGGACACGTGCACGTGACCTGTCTGTTCTCCAGAGACTTCATGCGGTACCCATGAAACCTATGCTTTTTTCCATTGCTGTTGCAGGTCACTGTAGCTGTGACCTCTTTAATCTCAGATGCACCCCAAGTCATTTTGTTCTAGAGCCGGGCCTGCCTGCAGCTGTCCTATCACTGGAGGTAAAAGGCTGAAAAATCTCTAAAAAAAGAAAACTTGGGAGTGTCTAATTTAGCGGTTATGTTGCGCGTCCCATGTACAGAGGCTGTGGGTTCAAATCTGACCTCGGACCTCAGCTGTCCTTTTTTCAAGAAAACTTTTTTTTTTTTAAATGTGTAAGCCTCCCTTGGATTACCTGGAAATGCATCCTGATAAATCCTGGGGTGGCAGTAGTTCGTCTGGAGAGACCTGGCTTGGGAACCGGAGGGTCACAGATTTAAGTAACAGAACAAACTAGAGCTCAGAAAATTGGGACTGGTTGCTGGAGAGGAAACAGTTCACATCTAAGCGTGTGAATGTTTTCATCAACATCAGTGCACAGCTGAGAGTTTCATTGTGTGTTTAGATGTTTAAAGAAAACATTATCTCAGTCAGCCCGATGATCTCTTTGGTTTTGTGCACCTCAAACACTTGAGGTGCACACACACTGACCTCAGCTTTGGACTTGAACGCAGCGTCCTTTATACACAAGCACAGCCTCATGAGCTGCTCCATAGCTGAGCCCATAAACTTATTGTTGATTTGATTTACTTCAGTCATTTTTTTTAATTTTAATTTTAATTTCAAAGGAATTATTCTGAGGCCCTTGGTTATTATACACTTTGTCTTTGTTACGCTCACATCAAATGAAAACTGATCCCGTCACAGCCGCCTCATTTCAGTCTCCTCTGTAATTCTCCCCTACACACACACACACACACACACACACACACACACACACACACACACACACACACACACACACACACACACGCAAGCACACACACACACGCAAGTACACACACACACACACACACACACACACACACACGCTCACTCACTCATAGAGGTCACCAGGGATGATGCAAAACTGAGATAAGAGGATACTTAAATACTCTATGTGTGTGTGTGTGTATCTGTGTGTGTGGTATCTATATAAACATACACACACACATACATACAGTGAGGCCAGCCTGGGATTGTCTCTGTGATGAAACCAGCAGTAATGTCTGCTGCTGGCATGACAACTCCATCCACTGTGACATGACTGTGTGTGTGTGTGTGTGTGTGTGTGTGTGTGTGTGTGTGTGTGTGTGTGTGTGTGTGTGTGTGTGTGTGTGTGTGTGTGTGTGTGTCTGTGTGTGTGTGTGTGCTGTGTGTTTGTCTGTGTGTGTGTGTGTGTGTGTGTGTGTGTGTGTGTGTGTGCGCGTGTGAGTGAGTGTGTGTGTGTGTGTGTGTGTGTGTGTGTGTGTGTGTGTGTGTGTGTGTGTGTGTGTGTGTGTGTGTGTGTGTGTGTGTGTGTGTGTGTGTGTGTGTGTGTGTGTGTGTGTGTGTGTGAGGACCTTTGACCTCCTCACTGTGTCTGTTACAGAAAGTTGTGCAATCTGTTCTTAAAGTCAACTTTTAAAATAAATTGGACGTAAAGATGATTTTTACCTTTAACTTTGTTTTTTATGTGTTTAAGCGTTTGATCTTAATCCCAGCACAAGGATTGCATGAAACGAAACGGCTTAAAATGAAAGATTGCGTTGGCATATTTTTGCCGATGCTTCAGTTGTGCAGCCCCTGATACGGAGCATGTTTGCTGATTTTCAACTTAATCTCTGTTAGTGGCTTCACACTTGCACAAAACGCCTGAAAACTTCCTGAAGTTTAACCGTTCTCCCGGTAAGTTTGTCGCATGAAGTCAGGAACCGTATTCACATCTGCAAATGTCCTGTAAATATCTAGATTATTTCAGGAGGACTGCTGCGGACATTCTCCTGATCTGGTTGTTCACACATGCACCTCACAGCGGGAGACTAACCCTGTCAGACAGGAGGGCAGGGGGTTGGGGGTCTGAGGACACAAGGCATGATGTTTGTGATAACGTTTATATCCTGTGACTGCTGCACGGTGCATAGACTGTATGCACACGGCCGCTACAATCACCAAGCACATCATTAAAGTGCTGCATTATATTATCTGTGCACTTTGATCTTCTCCGCAGAACTCACTGCCCATAGCATGATTCTTGATTGCACATTCAAATCAAATGTGAAACACATTTTCTGTAATGCTGATGAAAGAGGTCACAGATTTATGATTTGTCCTGAAATCAGAGAGCAGCCTTCACTTGAACGCTGACAAGAGCACACACTCAGGGTTACAATCTCTAAGGAACTTGAAAAAATAACACCTGCTACTGCATGATTTCCCCCATCGTCTTTCTGTTCATGTGATCTGTGTCCCTGTCTTCAAGAGGTCAAAAAGCTCGAGCAACACTTGTAGTAAGAAAAGCAACAAACATCATTTAAATAGGGAAGGTAGGAAATTGAAAGAGAGGTACAAAATTTAAAAAAAAGGTAAAGACAACCAATCAAATGCATCCACTTATATGTATTTCAGCCAATACAAAACTAACCAGCCCACCACTGGTTAGGTTTGTTGGCCAGACCAATGGGCACTGACATAGAGGTGAGGGGCGTGTCCAATTAAAGCAAGGATGACAACACCTGGTTAAAAAGTAGGGCTCCCTGTCTTCAACAAACAGGCGTGACTTAAACTGCAGGTCCGGACTCCATCGAGGCTGGTGGTGAGTCTCTCCTGTTTATAGACACTAAAAGTTCTCTGCTCTGTTAAATAAACCACTGAACGACTAGGCGTTCAGGTGAGGAGGCAGGTTACCTTAGGTTAGTTTCTACACCTGGGCCTTTCAGCTCACCTGATGAAGGACCTCTTGATCTTCATTTTAAAGCCGATGGTAACGAGTCAGAGCAGCCACACGTCGAAGACTGCACTCTGCAAAACAGAAGCTATGTATGTTACCAGGGGATGATCATATTGACATAAGAGAAGGAAGTTTTCATTATTAAAAGCTATATATTTCACTGCAGCAAGACTAAAAAAGAGACAGAAAAGTCAGCACACTAAATGTCCTTCAAGTTTCCTTTATCTGGGTAAGAGCAGCGTACAAAACAACAATGGATGCATTTCAGCACAAGGCCTTCATCAGCATCAACACTGTGCTGAAACGCGTCCGTTGTTGTTTTGTTTTGTTTTCTTACACAAATAAAGGAAACTGGAAGGACATTTAGTGTGCTGACTTTTCTGTCTCTGTTTTCAATGTCTATCTCTTGAACATGTCAGGGGTGTTAAAAAATGCATCTCTTGAAATGAGAAAATGATTCAAATGAAAAGAGATAGACGACGAGCTGAGAGCTGGAGCTGAGGCGGGTTTTAAGCCGTATGATAAACTGCTACACCGCACCCACCCGTCAATGAACCCAACTATGCATAACATGTATCGATCAGAAAATCAGAACGGATGTGTTTTAAAAAAACAGTCAGCCCCAGTACAGGACAATAACTAATCAGACCTTTATCTTTTTTGAACCAGGCTGTAAACATGAACATTAATCTATGCTGTAAAAAATGACTTTTTTGAATTGGGTGTGTATGTGACTTCCTGTGCTTCTGCAGCGAGCATCAAGCGGACCCTTGAAGAACTGCAGGATCTTGCACTTTTCATTTTTCAAAACCTGAGATTGCCGCTTATATCATCGTAAAAATACAAAAGTAGTTGAATGAACTTTTATTGTAGATACACTCAATGAAAATTGTTTCTTCTTTGTGTCGTCTTTTGGAGCCACATTTACGAGGATGCAAACCCACAAATGAAGAGAAAAAAAATCCATGTATGCTGTTAAATCTGTGTCCATGCATGTGCCTTCTCTCTGATCCCCCAGCAGCGAGCACAATCTAATTAACCATCCATCCCACACAAGCTTTTAAAGCCCACACAATAACTGCTGTTTCCTTCATGCGGTTTAGGATTTATGAATCAAACAAATCCTCCTCTCATCTTCCTCAGCGTCTCTCAGGTGTGTTGCATCAGCAGCTAATTAGGCTCCTTATTCTTCCCCCCATGCGAGCGTCAAATCCTTTCCTCATTTACCAAAATACAAATCTTGTTAAAAAACAGTGCAGAGCGACTCGCGATGCTTATTGACATGATTCAGATTCATCATTCAAACTCGTCAGGGCTCTTGTGTCAGATTTCAGACTGACACGTGAATTAAGATTTTCCTGCAACACGGCAAACAACCAGCGCGACATTTATGAAGCGTTTGCATCATTTTATTGGACGGATGGTGGAGATGAGAAACATTCTCGTGTTTAGGTCTTTCTTTCAGCATTAACACATTGCTTCTTCTAAACGTTTGTCAAGCTGTTTTTACGCATGCACTCCTGAAAACGTCTTGCAGAAATCTCCTGAAAAACTCCTGATATGGGGCACTGGTGGCACAGTGGTTAGTGCATGCACCCCATGCATGGAGGCTGTAGTCCTCTAAGCGGGCGGCCCAGGTTCAAATCCCACCTTTGACTCCTTTCCCACATGTCATTCCCCACTCTCTCTCTCTCTCTCCCTGGTTTCCAACTCTATCCACTGTCCTAACTCTCTATTAAAGCCGCAAAAAGAAAGAAAAAGAAAAACTTCTGTTATTTCCTGGAGGAGCTGCATGTGTGAAAGTAAACAGACACATTTTTCCCTCAGACTTCCCCCGGAGTTTCTCCTGCCAGATCCCTATTGTTCTTCCGCAGCAAGTCCGAGTGAGCTGATGTGAGAACGCAGCAGTATATTATCAGTAGAATTCACCTCGAGCCAATAGGAGGGGGGAGTGACGTTTATATCCTGTGACTGGAGTCAGTGCAGATGCTGCATTCATGTGGTATCTGGTGGAATATGGACACATTGGAAAAACTACTTTCCAAGTTGTAAAATGCACATGAATACCTGCTAAAGTCGGAACAACGACTCAGAAATTTGGAAAATAATTAGGTGCCCGACTTGCTGACTTGAGGTCAGAATCGTTCTGAGGACGGGTGTTAAATGTTTACATTTATTCATTTTTAGATTTAAAAGAAAAAAAGATTTATTTTTGGATTTTTGTGCCTTTATTGGAGAGATAGGACAGTGGATAGAGTGGGTAACCAGGGAGAGAGATAGAGTGGGGAATGACATGCAGGAAAGGAGCCACAGGCGGGATTCGATCCTGGGCCGCGCACACTAACCCCTGCGCCACCAGCGCCCCATGTTTACATGTATTTTGTTGGTGTGTCAGGACTCTGGCTGCTGGAGTTGTACTGGTTTATTTGTTCTCATTGTTTCCCTCCAGTGTATCAACAAGAAACTGTGCGAGGCCTCACAGAGCTTTAGAAAAAACAAATAGACAAGATATGAATAAGTTCAGATGCAATTTTTATGATTCCTCTCGCTCGACTCTGGGTCTGACCAGAAATACACAAAGATTATCCGCCTGGAATTTCCCAAAAACTGCATCAAGATCCAGAGACACAAGTTGGCTCGATGGACTTTTATCTTTGGTACAATTTTGAGATTAGGTAAAAAAAAAAAAAAAAAAAAAAACCTCTGTAGAAACGAGCTGGATTAAAATCAGTCCAATATGTTTTGAATGATGTCGAACATTTTGTTTGATAATGGATCATAGGAGAGGGTAACACTTCCTTTAGTGATAGCTGAGCCGACTGTGAAATCTAAATGTTCAGGTGACAGAAAGAGAGTTGAATAAAACTTCAGTGATTAACATTTGACGAGTTTTGTTCTAAAGGAGAAAAAGATTTTAGGAACAAGATGAGGGGATTAAAATAGTTTAGAAAAAAACCTGAACAGTGTATCAAAGAAGCATCAAATATTAAGTTTTATTTTAACTCTGTGTGTGTGTGTGTGTGTGTGTGTGTGTGTGTGTGTGTGTGTGTGTGTGTGCGTGTGTGTACACGTGCATGTGTCCGTGGTTTCATTGCTCTCCTGTGCAACCATCAAATGCAACTTGAGGCAATACCCTACACAAACACACACACACACACACACACTCAGATACACACACACTCACCCATCTCCGACCGAAACAAACAAAACAAACAAACACACACACACACTCCCTCTAACACCATCCGGCTGCTTTCTGCCGTAACGAGGTGCAATCAACACGCAATGCTGACCAACACACACATTCACACAACACACACACAAGCACACACACACACACACACCACACACACAGGAACACAAACAACATGCTCTCACACACACACACACACACACAGTGAGGCTGGTTGAAGGATGAAGTCAGCCTCTGATTGCAGAAGAGTTACAGAGTGTTGAATAGTTCCTGTGTGTGTGTGTGTGTGTGTGTGTGTGTGTGTGTGTGTGTTGACCTCATACTGCCATGATGTCACATCTATACTGTAAGAGTTGCATGAACAGCAGCAGTCATCTGAACACTCTCACTCACACATTCATGTTTTGAACATTGAGGTAAATAAAAAGGAATTAAAAAGATTTTTGTTTTTGCTTTGACATTTTTTTCTTTTTCAAATAAATAAATAAGAATAAAAGTTGTGGTAGATGAAGATGCTTAAAGTTGAAAGACGATATTCAAAAAAATAAGATAATTGTTCCTAAATTTTAAGTTATTTTAGGGCAACAAAAACAAAATATAAAACTTAAAAAGAATAATCAATTTTATTTTGAAAGGCTCTTATCAAAACCAAAGTCACAAAGTGCTTCTTTACAGAACATAAAAATGTCAACAGTAAAATACAGAGATAATAAAGTCGTATTAAAACCATGAATTTAAGAAAACAAGAAGACAGAGACTTTAAAATAGAAAGTACTGAGACAAAGACTACAGGAGACAATGAGACATCATGGGTAAAACAAGGATAAGAAGAAGGCCTTTCGGTGAAAATAAGTCTTCAGAAATGATTTAAGAGAAGATATTGATGCAACTCGTCTGAGATCCTGAGGTGGGTCGATCGACAGCCGAGGAGCCGGAGCAGCAAACGCTCCGTCTGCTTCGGTTTTCAACTTTCTGACAGATCCACAGAATAAAATTATTATAAAAATGCTTTGACAAAACATCTAAACTCTGTTGATCTTTATAAGCTTTGCTTTACTTTCATTTTCATTTATGTTTCAAATTGTAACTGTTTTAAATAATCTCAGTGGTTTTTGTCACTGATTCTGAGTGTTTCTTGTGTTTTTGCTTGTTTTACTGTGCTTGTAATCTCGACGGCGTTGGAAATGAGGCAAACCTCAGCGTCCTTTCGAGGATAAATAAAGGTTTGAAAATGAAAAAGAAATGAAAATTTAATTTAAGTCACTTGCTCTGCGTCTTTGTTGCATACAACCAAATCTTTCTCCGTGTGTGACAACACAAATGCACGATTAGACTTCTCTTCTGTGTGAATAAAGTTTAGTTTTGCTTTACATTTCAGGCTGTTTGAGAGCTTTCTGCATCTTTTGCTGTACTTTATAATAGTTTTTAGAATATACTCTGATCAAAATATTTGAATATTTGTTTGACATTTTCTGTCTATAATCCTTAAATGAGCTTGTTACAATAAAGCTCAAACTGAAGAAGCAGACACAGAAGTTGGCACAACTTCACCAACTACCACGGTGCATGAAGAGTGAAAGGTGAGAGGTCAAAATGTTCCAGCAACACTTGTAGTATGAAGATCAACTTTATTAACAAATTAGACAGAAGCGTTTCGGCTTTTGGCCTTTGCATGACCCTGATGAAGTGTTGCTGGAGTTTTGTGACCTCCAATAAAGCTCAAACTTAAAGGAGGAACTTTAGGCTTGTGTCAATTTTGGCGACCCTGTGGACAAAGCAGTACCTCATCGCTTTGCTATTCTTGTCCTGTAAGTTGTTGGATGTTAAAAGAAGTCCAAGTGTATCACTTATAGTGCTTCCAAACTTGCAGAAAACTCCATAGGAGCTGTATGGGTGAACGCAAACAGTGTGTTAATCGTGTTTGCATTGAAGAGCTGATTACCGACGAGAAAACACTGAAGAGTTTCAGCAGCGTGAAAATGTTTCAGCAGCATTAGTTGAAGGTTGAGTGTCAGAGGATGTTTGCGCTCTGAATTATTGATGAACAACCATTAATTAACTTTTCTCACAGTGTTTTTATGTGATGAAACCCGTCCAGTTATCTCCCATCTGCTGCATCCTGTGTGTGTGTGTGTGTGTGTGTGTGTGTGTGTGCGCGTGTGTGTGTGTGTGTGTGTGTGTGTGTGTGTGTGTCAGTTTGATCCGTACAGAGCGTCTGCATGATGCAACACACATACAATAGCCATAAACCACCGCACACACATTCACTTTGTTGATGAATGACAGTCAAACGCTGCAGACGTGAAGGACTTCAGTCAGATCACAGAAAATGTAAAACGACTCAAAATCAGATTTTAAAAAAATGAACTGTGAAGTCAGAAACAGGTGATTCACACTAACATGAACTCTCATCTGCAGCTCAGTGATTAATTTCCTCTCACTGTTTCTGTCTTCAGGATGAGTCAAAAGGATGACATGAGATTTGATGCAGAGCAACTTGCGGCCACAAGAGGGAGACAAACTCCACCTTCTCATCAGGTCTACATTGGCACAGGGACCAATCATAGACTGTAAATATTAAGGTATCAATATACTTCTTCATGTTTTAATTATACAAGAAAAAACATGCTTAATATATTTAAAATATGTCAAAATGCAGCCAACATTATAAACATCTGGACTAAAGTCTGAGTCTTAAATTACAAAGAAAAGATAAAGACTCTTCGATTCAAACACACAATCTTCTGCTAAAAAAAAATTGTCTTTTTTCCTAATATGTTCCCTCTCACAAAATGAACATGCCTTCCTCAGAATAACTCACTTAAAAATGTTAATTTTTCTTTTTTTTTAATCCTTGCTTCCATGCAATGTCTTTACTTCCTGTAACAAAAAGTCTGCACCCAACTAAAACGCTGACTTTACAGAAAGTCCTCTTCCTTGAAGAAGCTCCTCTCTTTTACAATGATCTAGTCTCCAGAACAGTCTTACCTGTTTAAAAATGTTAAAATGTTCTCACTCTATGTCCATACTTTTAAAAAACCTCCCTATTGTTGTAGATTATGAGATAAATGCAAAAATAGTCTTTTTAATTCGAGGTCACATATTCTCCTCCTCTTCAAACAGTTTAAATAATCTCAGAGCTCCCTAAAACATGTCTGTGAAGTTTCTTGTTCTAAATCCACTCTGATCCTGTATTTCATCATGTCTATAAACCCCTCTATTTCAGCCCTGCTCAGAACAGGCTGTTTCTGTGTCTTTAAATGTAAATGAGCTGTGTCTGACCACGCCCCCTCTCTGGAAGGGCTTGGGTGGCTCTGGCTTTCTCGTTTCCAGTTTTTAACAATGACCAGGCAGACTCAGAGGGCAGAACAAACACCTAGCTGTGGCAGTGTCACCCACCTGGGGGAGGGGCTACTGCCCTTTGTGATGTCATGAAGGGAATATCTCCAAACAGCCTGTTTGAGCACACATTTTCTGAAAAGTGGAGCAGGCAAAAGACAGAGAGGATGGACTTTTTTCATAATAACGGGGGAAAACATCTCAGTCCTCGACTATCATCAGTTCCTCAGTCTAGGACTGTGGGGATGGCTTCATAGCCTATATAGTTAAATCGGTGTCTTGTTATCTCTCCTCTGCCATTTTTTGTTTAAATTTCCTCCAGTACCATTGCACCCAAGAGTCACTTTTTTGATTCCACATACACACATTGACCTCCTTCTTTGTCACATGAATCACAGCAACATCTGTCTGATTAGTGTGAACTGTCTTCATGACTTAAGGTTTGGTTTTGGATTTGCTCTTATCTAACACAAATGTGGAAACAAGGTCACAATATTCACTATAAACTAGTTAGATGTAAACACGGCTCTGACAACAGTACAGCAGGTGGGACTCACGCTTCTCACTCATTGAAGACAGTCATGACTCAGAGAGACATTTACACAGGATTTACTTTATTTCTGCTTTATTTATGTGTAAAATATCACACATTCTGCTCTGAAAGAGGACATATTATCCCCCTTCTCCACCTTTTCAAACAGTCCCCTGTGGTCTAAATGAAACATCTGTGCTGTGCTTTGGTCAAACTATAACATGAATCAAGCACCAGAGGAGGTTTGTGACCCTGTATAAACCAGCTCTCTCAGAACGCTCCGTTTTGGTGTGTGTGTCTCTTTAATGCAATGAGCCCCCCTGAGTTTAGACATAACTCCTTGCTAGAGAGAATAAAAATGGTGGACCTGCACAAAAGTTTTGTTCTAGGCGTTCTAGGTGGAGTCCATGGGTGGAGATACAGGGGAGGGGAGGGATTTTCTTTTACCAGAATCCCACTGTGACATCACAAGGAGAGCACATTTGAAACAGAGCAGATTTCCCTTTGTTTTAAGACTCATGCAGACTACAAACAAAGGATTGTTGTGGGTCTGTAGACACTCAGGTTACCCAAATATATGTTCAAGAACACTGTGAAAGTGGATTTCTCATAATATGTCCCCTTTGAATAAAGTGTTACCACAATTTTAAGATGTTAAATTAACAATTCCTTTTTACATGAACAATTATCTTGAGCCTCTCGTTTATCTTCTCTGGAATGACAACCAGATCGTCTCTCTTTGTTACTTCATGACATGCTGGTCTGACGTCACGCTGACACAAACAAAACAAAACCCAGTCAGAGTCAGAATAAAACCTTCCTTCATCAGTTTGTGGAGCAGAAACAATGAGACGACAATCCAAAAACGACTCACTGAGAATCTGAAATATTTGCGGTCGTGTTCAGGATTTTACACACTCACTTTGTTTGTGCGCTCGACTTATATACACAGAGAAAGAAATCCAGGCGTAAAGCTTTTACTTTTGGACTTAAAACTGATGGTTTTCACTCTCAAAGGAGGGGATTTGTGTCCCAAAGTCAGATCTAAAATCATCCAGTGTGTAGCCAGGCTTAGTCTCTGACATCCCCCATCCAAAGTTCACCTATTGGTCTGGTATCGTTTAGTGTTACCCATCTATTCTTGTAACAATCAGAGACGTGTGCTACAGTTGATTCACAATTCACAAGAATTTAACGTTTAAACGGGTCGTGTGAATTACCATCCTGATATATTCTGGCCTCGTCGAGCTGACAAAGCAGGAGTAAAATATGGGACTCAACGAGCTGCTTAAATCACATATACGTCCAGGAATGTCAAATATCTGAATGCAGTTTGAGTGGACTCAGTCACATTTTCTACATTGCAGCTGTAGTGAAGGAACGCAGTAATGTTGGGCGTTCAGCCGGACGTTAAACACAGACAGGCAGAAAGCTGAAAAAAGGTTAACTGGAATATAGCAGCAGATTCCAGAGTCAGGTGACACAAATGTATCTGTTAAAGTCTGGAGCGTCATCAGTGACCAAGTTGATTTCATTTCAAGTTTATAAGATTAACAAGATATCTCATCTAGTAAACGTTTGACTTAAAATGAACTCTGAATGTGGTCGAGAATCTCTTACAACTGCTCCACTTTGTCCCTCAAAAGACCTTTTCAAATAGTGGATCCTGCTGGTGCGTGGAACAGAAAATGTCAGAGATTAGATTATTGATAAATCAGGTCCAGTGACTCCATGAAAAAGTATTGAGGTGCTGTTGCAAACTTATACAGTCATACCTTGAACACTGTGAGAGTGAAGTTTTGCACTGAGGGAGATCGGCATTTGTGGCAGTAACTGACCTGAGTTGTTTATTTATAATTAAACTACTGGATTATGTTTTCTGTTCTCTGGTATGTTCTTCTCCACTGTTTTGTTGATATTGTGATTCTGTCAAACTACACATTACATAACATTTCATCTTGAGGGGAAAATTCATTTTTTTAAATGTAATTTCTTGGCAATTCCCTTCGAACCACAAATTTTATTTTTTAAAAGTCATCAGCATTCATCCTCTGTGCATCAGGACTATTTGCACCAAATTTTATTCCAATAAATCAATTAATTGTTGACATACTTACATTTGGAGGAATAACTCTTTTTTTAGAGTTATTTTTCTTAATTCTCGGACTTACCGATCAACATGGAGCTGCATTGCAATCAAAACTAAACTAAACTATTCTTCATTACATGTGCATAAAGATGTCTCATTTTTTTGTAGTGTATTTATGTTATGTAAAGTCCTAGTTTCCCCCCCTGAATAACGTGATATCAGTCAGTCAGCCTCTCTGTCTGTGTGTTGTTAACCACCAGCTGTGCTCCGCTTATTAACCTGATAACCAGCTCCCACATGGCTTCTGTTAAAACACACACAAACACGTGCACAGACACACACACACACACACACACACACACACACACACACACACACACACACACACACACACACACACACACACAGAGAGAGATAAAAGACTGCATCTGATCTCTTTTAATGGCAGCCAAAAGAACTTCATCTGTGACACGTGAAACTTCTCCAGATTTTGACCTAAAAAAAAAAAAGAAAGTAAAAAAAACCCTTTCTGCTTCTTGAGATGTACTGAAGGCAAGTTTTTTTTAGCGTTTAAGTTTTTTTTTCAGTTTTACACTCTGTATTCTGACTGCTTAGAAAAACTCCCTTCATTGTCTTATTACCTGGTCTCTGCTTGGTTCCAGGTCAGCCCTGGGTCCAGTCTGCTCCTGACCCCTCTCCATCAGGCCCTCATGAGCCTCATTAGCAGCAGCTGATCAGAACAGAAGTTAGAGCGGAACATGTGAGGTGTGTCGGCGGTCATGAGACTGGATGTACCGTTTCAATTAAAACAGAAGTGACCGACGATCTGCTGCTTGTTAAGCGCAGGATCTCCGCTCTTATTGGCTGACCCCAGTCCAACTATGAACTTGACGGCTAAGACAGACAAACGTAGCTGCTTTGGAAGAATTTTTAATATTGATCTAGTGTGGGAAAATAAATCTAAATGTATACGTCAGAGTTAATTGATAACAACTTGCTTCAGGTTCATTCTGATGGGAGGGCTTGAAAAAGTAAACTTTGGTAACTAAATATGAATTTATATCTATGGCGATCAGACTTTATGGTGTGTCCCATATGTTAACAGTTTTCCAAAGTCCTTCTGAATATCTGTAAATCTCTAAAATGTCCCAGTTTTTTACATCCGCTCCCGATTCATACAGTCATGATAATAAGTCATGTTTTCAGCGCTGACAGAATCAATATGTGATGATGGCTGAGCTTAGTTACGGCACTACTAAAATAGTCAAATTTCCTGCAGGCTGGAAGTCATTGAGGCTGTTAATTGGACACAGAGACTAATTAGACACAGGGGTAATCAAACACAGGTGAGACTGATAACACAGGTGAAGATAATGAGGGCCATCAACATGGACCAGTCTGAACAGACTGGTCAGGAGGGCCAGTTCTGTCCTGGACTGTCCACTGGACTCTGTAGAGGAGGTGGGTGAGAGGAGGATGTTATTGAAGCTGACATCCATCATGGACAACCCCTCTCACCCCCTGCATGACACTGTGGGGGCCCTGAGCAGCTCCTTCAGCAGCAGACTCAGACACCCACCCTGCAAGACAGAGCGCTACCGCAGGTCGTTCATTCCATCTGCAGTCAGACTCTTTAATCAGACTCTTTAACAACATCACCACCTCATGCTACACACTGTATGTTTGATTTTTAATAATTATATTCCTGTCTCCTGTTTTCTTGAGCTGCTGTAACCCACAAATTTCCCACATGGGGGATCAATAAAGTTTATCTTTATCTTTATCTTTATCTTTATTGTCACTCAGGCGACCTGCCTATGGGCAGGGTACAAGCTATCCCCTTGGTTGGGGTCCCAAGGGCCCCCGTGGCCAAGGGCGAAGTGAAAATGTCAGAACAGTGACAACCATGAACTGTATACATTGTAATACTGATTTCTTCTGGATTTCTCACATATTTATTTACAGTCTATGGTCTAAAAGTAGTTTTATCAACAACAACGAAACTAAAAAAGACACCAAAGCTCTCGTCTTTTATCGTTTTAACACAGACTTCTTATCCTTAAACATGTTCTTACACCCAAGTAGTTATTTGTAACACAATGTGAGAATTTAAATGTAAAGATTAGCCTCAAAATGTTTCTTACATTTAATGATAAAACTTTGCTAATGTATTCCTCTGCTAACCCGGACAAAGTCTAGTAACTGCTCTGACAAATAACTAATAACCATAATTGTATATTTTAAAAAAGTGTAGTTTTAAGTGTAGTTTAGCTATGCTGTCAAGTGGACTGCTAACGTCGAACTGAATGGGCGGAGTTAAGTCCCGCCTTACTGCTGTTGCTAGGTTGATCCGAAGTTAGGTTGAGACTGCAAATCCAATATGGATGCGGCCGTCGATTGGACTCATTTGCTGCCTACGTAACAGACGGGTCAGGGTTTGTCCAGTAATATTTACAGTCTATGTTCTGCTCTCACGTCGCACGTTTCCTAATCAACGTGCTTTGTTGGAAATCAATGAATCACCGGAGGATGCGTACATGTCAGATATCCTGAATGGAATCAGTTCCCATATTGGAAATGTGTTTGGTGAAGGGACAACCTCAATACGATAGAGAACTCAAGAATGTAACAAAACACACTAGAACATAAACACTAGGATACAAAGTTACAGAATAACACTAAAGACTAACCTAGAAAACACACAAGGAAACACCATCAGGGAAGAATGACAACTAAAAACAAGAAAATCTGAACTCTGAAAATCTACAAAATAAGAAACCAAATCATGACAGCTATTTTACCACAGTTTTTTTTTTTAGATTTTCGGATTTTTATAAATATACAAGACTAAATTGAATTAATGAATAAATATAGCCTAAATCTAAATGCTGAATAACATTTTTACTGTTACTGAAAGTTTGAGTTATTCTTTATTTAGAACATGATGCAGAAAAAAGAAAATAATGTTTTATTTGATTCCCTTAAATCTTGTTTTCAACTTGCAATAAAAAGTGTTTTATTGTATTTCATGTTTTTCGCTCGTAGCTGAGCCTGTTGTAAAATATTAAAATGATTGTTATTTTAACACCCATTCAAGCTGAGGTATGATCATGTGAGTGTCGTTGGAGGTCAAGACCCATTCACAGCTTGCTGACTGTGTGTGTGTGTGTGTGTGTGTGTGTGTGTGTGTGTGTGTGTGTGTGTGTGTGTGTGTGTGTGTGTGTGTGTGTGTGTGTGTGTGTGTGTGTGTGTTTGTTGAGCCTCAGGATCAGAGTTAACACTGTAAGAAAGTTAAGTCACGTTACTGTCAGCGGGGCATGACTCAAAACCAATTACAACTTTTTTTTTTAAATCTCAGATTCCTGTTTGGAAAGGAATCGTGACACACACACACACACACACACACACACACACACACACACACAGAGAGACACACAGACATATCTAAAACGTTGTCATCCCATTGGCTGCCACTGATGAATGGATGAGTTGTTGACCAATCAGGAGCATGTGACCAGTAAATATGTAGACTGCCCGACATCAGCTGGACTCACTCTGACTGTCCTTCTGTCACACACACACACACAAGGACACACACACACAAGGACACACACACATTCTGTGCCACACAGTTTTTAACAGAGGTTTCTCACAGAAACTCACACACACACACACACACACACGTCTCTCTGCTTTATATACAACATCACATCGGTCGCCAATCATCCGTCCATCATGCACAGCAAAGAACAGATCAGGTAAGAAAACACCTTTAGTTTATCTGTATTATTTACTTTTTTTATAGAATAAATGTTACATATTTTAAGTGCTTCAAGATCAAGGCTTTCCTCTCATAAAGCTGTTATATTTCTCCATATTAATGGTTTTCTTACTTTAATCTTTGTGTCCTCACCCAAGAAGCTTTACTGGGACGAGTTTAACCCAAAAGCTAAAATGAAAGTTCAGTTTGTTCAGTCATTTGTTCGTGTTCTGGATGTCTTGTTGGTCACTTTATTAAGTAGTCGACAGTGCAAATATGTTTGTATAAATCAGAAGAGAGAAAGAAGAACAGCTGTTCCTGCTGCTGCATAAATAACGATACAAAGTAAGAAAAATAACCATTGGGCATTGAACTAAAAAACAAAATAAAATAAGCATTTTTGTGAGTGTTGTTGCCGTCCTGCAAACAGATCTGACTTTTGGGGAAACTTTTAAAAACATTGATATCAACAAACTTTGTGGTTAAAAATGTACAAATTTTGCAATGACAGTAGGAAACCTCTTGACAGCACTTTCTCTCCATGCCCTACAAAGCATCGCATGCATTACTGCTTTGAAAAACGAAGGTTGTCAATGAAAGTCAGTGAAGGAAATAGAAGAGGAATTATTTGCGTGGGAGTGAAAAAAGAGGGAGACATAATGGGGATGAACGCTGGTTGGAGGGGCCCCCAATTAATTTTCGTTAAGGGCCCCTACAGACTCTAGAATCCCCACTAATCATACTGCAAGTGTTAGATTTCCAGATGGTAACAATGTCGTTTTTGGGTAAAAAATCATGGAGAAGGGGTGCCGGTTGGTGGCCTGGGGGTTATTAAAGAGGCTTTTGGATATGTTAATGTTTTCATTAATTGAATGAAAACGGATGTCTTAGTACAGGCAGAACTGGTCCACAGTCACTAAAGGATAGTTAGTCATGATCCAGAATGTGTTGCACCTGAACAGACCCAATCGTATTGTGGGAACATACGTCAATACATCAACTTAATTTGTTCCCGAAGGGCGATTAGTTTTGCAGCAAGGCATTACGAGGACAGAACAAGACAAAATACCTGTCGGTAGTTAATCCTTGACTGATGGTGTTAGCAGCTTACATTACAGACAAAATAAACACTGGTCTGCTTTTCTTCACTCCACAACATTCTTCTTCCTTTTTCTTTTCCCGCAGTCACGATGAATACCAGAAGACAGCTGATTGGTTGATGTCTCAGACGAGGCACCGCCCCCAGGTGGCGATCATCTGCGGGTCCGGACTGGGCATGCTCGCTGACACCCTCAAGTGTCAGGACACCTTCGCTTATGCTGACATCCCGGGCTTCCCACAGAGCACAGGTAGTCTATCTATACGTTTATTTATTTATAAAACAGTATTTATTATTACTAAGAGATTATCACTGATTTATCTAATTCACTTTAATTACTGCTCACTTATTTATTCATGTATATTACATTTTAGATTTACATTTCTTAACAGCGTTTTCATGCTGAGTTAAAGAACTTTCTCTCCAGTTTATGCAATATGAAAATATAACTGAACTGGATGGCCTAGCGGTTATGTTGCCCCGCATGTGCATTGCCCATTTTTTCACTCAACTCCATGTCAGCTTCTCTCCCTGTCTGTACTCTGAATATACCAGTGATTGAACATGCAAGGAACAGTATCTGTAAATGAAAGAATAGAGGAGAATCAATAGCCTAGCGGTTATGTTGTGCAACCCACGTACAGAGCTCTGTGTTTAGCCTAGCTTAGCTTAGCACAAAGACTGGAAAGGTAAACTTTTAGCTTTGCTTCTTTGAAAAGGAAGAAAAAGTCCAACATTCAGACGTTCAGGTCTGTCTGGTTTCAGGTCTGGTTTTCATATGTTATTATTTTTGTAATATTTCTGTAAGTTAATACCTATAACTATCTATAACACCTATTATAATTTTTAATATTATTATTATAATATAATACTATTATAATACCTATTACTCTGTCACCTTGATCCTAACTTTTCTTTGTGTGTGTGTGTGTGTGTGTGTGTGTGTGTGTTGCAGTTCAGGGTCATGCAGGTCGGCTGGTTTTCGGGGAGCTGAAGGGGAAGTCGTGTGTTTGCATGCAGGGTCGCTTCCACATGTATGAAGGACACTCACTGCTCAAGGTACACACACACACACGCACACGCACACACGCACACGCACACGCACACGCACGCACGCACACACACACACACACACACACACACACACACACACACACACACACACACAACTAAAAGTTATTCTATCACCATCTCACATCAAAAGACAATGTGTCAGCAACTCACAGAGCTTCAAAGACTTGGGATCTTGCAGGATCCATAACTGCAGGACTACAACTAGATTTCTTCTAAGATTATTTCCCACCATGCACCTGGTGGAAATTTACAACTACAACTTTTGAGCATTAAACCGTAAAGATGGAGAAACTGGTGGAGTTGTGTAGAGAGCAAGAATGCTTTGATGTGTCCGTACACCCTGAGGAGACGATCAAACTTGACTCTCTAGAGGAAGTAAAACTCGTAACAAGGTTTCTGTTTGTGAACCTGCTGCGGTCGTTTTCTCACCATGGATATCGATGGATTTCAATGGGACAATTGTCTGTCCGTCGTTTTTCCTTCGCCTCTCAATCGTGGTTTTAAGAGGACGACAGGTCAACGAGGCATTTCTGTTCTCCCCTCATCTCCACCAGGTTCACTTCCTGTTCCACAGTGCAGGAGGGCCATACATTTTTTTCGCCTCCCTGCATTGTTTACTCGTTTACAGCTTCCTATTTGTTGCTGGCAAAACCGCTCCTCTTAGTTGTTGACAGTGGTCATATCATTAAACAACACATGTACATTAGACAAGAGTAAAGACCTGCAATAATATAAAACACGTTTGATTTCATCATATTGCCAAGACGAGAAGAAGACCGCTCGGGTTGTGTTTTATGACCACCTTACACCAAAGGTGCCCAAGCTACAGCAACACTCTAGTGATTTTATTACGACTTTGACTTTGAAATTGCTTGAAATGTTGTTTGGTGTAAGACCAGCATAGATGAAATGGTGCATCACTCTTTTGTATGTAGTGAGGAGAAACCAGTCAAATACCAGATACAGAATAAAACAGCTAACTTGTCTCTGTCAGAAGAAAGAAAAATGAAGCGTAATGATACTGATAATGCGTCATGATATGGTGGTTATGTAAGACCAGATCTCACTGAAACGGGCCAAGAAATCATCCATCACACGCTTTTGTGAATAAAAGGCTTCTCCTGCTTTTTTGAAAGTAAGCTGTGTGTTCTAAATGTTAGCGCTTTGAATCTGTACAACAATTTTCCAGACTGTAAAAATGTACATTAACACAATTTCATAACCTTTTAAATGGATTACATTACATGAATTGCAGTCCTTCATTATTTCACACAGAGGAAGAATACACTAAATACATATTCTGACTATTGTGCACAAACTACACACACAAACACACACCAACACAGCTGACTGAAACTAAAGCAGCTCAGTTACACTACCCAAACACATACAGTATGACTGTTTGTAATCAGCAGCACGAGATCCAAACCTGTAACACGACCTGTCTGAGCTGCATGTGTGTGTGTGTGTGTGTGTGTGTGTGTGTGTGTGTGTGTGTGTGTGTGTGTGTGTGTGTACTATGTGTGTGCGTGAGTACATGTTCATGTGTGAATGCATGTGTGTCAGCAGTGAACCCAGATCAGGTCATGCATTTGTCACATGCAACCTTTTAGCAGACTGGTCAATGCTGCTATTGTTTCCCTCCATGTAACACACACACACACACACGCACACCCGCACGCACACACACACACACACACACACACACACACACACACACACACACACTGTCTCTCTCAAACACATTATCTTGAGTGACACAGATACCTGACTTCCCTCTTGTTGGCTCCTTCACAATAAAACATCTGAACTGACTCAGTTACCATGACGACAGAAATACAACACAATTTTTCTTCTGATTTTGAGCACAAGCCAACAGAAAATTACACCTGGAAGGCTGCACTCGTGGCAAACAGACCAAATGATAAAAAAGTCATGAGACTCTGCCTGAGAGTTTAAACTGAAAGAGTAAAAATGTCTGACACCCAGTGCCCCATTAACACCATCTCCATAGCAACAAAAGTTATCATAAAGCCTCCTTTTAAGAAACTAACTATTACAGGGTTATAACGATAAACGTATCCGTCTGTCTGTCCCTTTATCAGACAACGTTTCCAGTTCGGGTCTTCAAGCTGTTGGGAGTGGAGACTCTGATTGTGACGAATGCAGCTGGCTCATTGGCTGACGGCCTCAAGCCTGGTGACATCATGATCATCAAGGACCACGTTAACTTCCCGGGATTGGTCGGTCTGAATCCACTGAGCGGACCCAACGACGACAAGTAACACTGACATTAACTTCTCTATGTTTTGTTTGTTATTGTATTTTTTATACAATATAAAAATATATATTGTTGTTGTTGTTAAAGTCATTTATTTTATTTGTAATGTCTCATATGTATTTACTCAGGTGTTAATGAAACAATTACTGTAGTTTTGTTTCACTTTATTTTTATCTCTTCCTTTACAGGTTTGGGCCTCGTTTCCCAGCCATGTCTGGTTGCTATGACAAAGGTCTGAGATGCCAAGCGATGGAAATCGCCAAAGAACTGGGCGTGGCCGGACTCATGCAGGAGGGCGTGTACGCCATGGTGGGCGGACCGAACTTTGAATCCATTGCAGAGGCCCGACTGCTGCATCGACTGGGGGTGGACGCTGTCGGTGAGAAACACTCTTCAATATCTTTTTGTTTCTTTGGAGGAATGGAGGAAAATTATGTCTTCTGATGCGAGCAACAAATATCAAAAGAGTTGGGACAGAATCATGTTTACTACTCTGTAGCATAACCAACAGTTAAAGTATAAAAAACAATAATCACACAAATCTTTAACAGAGACTATCCCAAATTATTGTTCCAGGCTTTCAACACATTTAATTCCAGTATTTTTTAATATTGGCTTTAGTGAGCGTTGACTCACTTTTGAAACCAGCCTCAAGTGGCCATTTAAGGAACTAAAGTTTGAGCACACATTGGCTTTTATTTTCAGCATATTAACTAATGATGTTTGTTGTCTGTTTACAGGTATGAGTACAGCTCCTGAGGTTGTGGTGGCAACTCACTGTGGTCTGAGAGTCTTCGGTCTCTCTCTGATCACCAACAAGGTAAACACAATAATCAGTACATCAGTATGGGAAATGATTGTGAATTATATCAAAGGCTACCACACAACAAATTAACTGATCGGTTGATGGCTAAATACATATCATGTATGTTTGGATCGATGCGTTGGTTGATTGATTTTTCGATAGACTGATTGATGATTGAATGACTGAATGACTGATTGGTTGGTGGGTTGTTTTGTGGGTTGGATAAATGATAATAAAACTGTCTGCATGTTGGATGAAGGATTGGTTGGTTGGTTGGTTCTTTGGTTGGTTGGTTGGTTGGTTGGTTGGTTGTTGTGTTGGTGTGTGGGCTGGTCTGTTTGTTGGATGAATGATTTAGTTGGTTCTTTGGTTGGTTGGTTGGTTGGTTGATTGGTTGGTTGGTTGGTTGATTGGTTGGTTGGTTGGTTGGTTGGTTGGTTGGTTGATTGGTTCTTTGTTGGGTTGGTGTGTGGGCTGGTCTGTATGTTGGATGAATGATTGGTTGGTTGGCTGATCCATAGCAATTGGTAAACATATAAGACTTAAAATTATATGTAATTGATTGATTTATTGATTGATTAGCTGACTGATTGATTGATCACAGGTGGTAAAGTGCTATGAGGACACAGACAGCGTGAACCATGAGGGCGTCCTGGAAGTCGGCCGACTGCGCTCAAAGACTGTACAGCAGCTGGTGACTGAATTGATCAGCAGGATGGAGATCAACAACAACAACACAACTAATGCTGTCTAAACACACGCACATAAACACTCTGTATATAACTGACTGTTGTATTACTGCATTTTTAAGAGCTTTTTAAAAACATCTTTCATGTCATTTTGTCATGGCTGTAATTTAAAAACCTTATTTATACCAAAAAGTTTGCTAATAATTTTCTATCAGGGTAGTTGAGTGTAAGTATTCATTTATGATATTTTATGAGTCATACAGATTAATATAATGTTGACCTTTGTGTTTTTAAGGTGCTATAATATAAAATGTGTGAGACAGAGACTTTTCTTAAGATTAAAACAATGACTGAATAAATAAAACATGCTGTCAATCCTCCTCATCTGTTTGTTTTTTAATCAACCAAACATCATCTTAGTGCAGTGGTCCCAACCTCGTTTTGCCTTTTCAATCACGTTAAAGCTGTCCTACTGTGTTGCAAGTAAACATTCATTTCAGACCACATTCAGGCTTTTTCATGTTTATCACAGTGGACAAAGGAAGAAAGGCTGGGATTCCATTTCTGCACAATGGATGACAGACAGAGACTCTACAAGTTTCTTGTTTTGGCATTAGATACGGCCCAAAGCAGCCTGTGTTCACTACATTTTAAATTACAATATATCTTATGTTGATCAATTAATACAAATTTCAGGCGACCCATTTAAATTAAATTAAACACACGCCAAGGTGTGTTGGTCAGAGCTGCTGTTCCTCATTTGTCCACTAGATACTGCTGTGAGGAAGTAGGGACAACAAGACCAAGAAATAAACCAACAGAATAAATAAGACAGGCCATTGCATCGGAATCAGAATCAGAATCGGGGTTTATTGCCAGGTACATTTACACATACAAGGAATTTGTCTTGGTGTATTGGTGCCATCAATACTTTTTCCCCTTATTTATCAAGAAAACAGTTGTAAGCTTAGTAGCCCTGTGAGGTCGTATTAAGGCCGTTTGTTATTCAATCAATAAATTGAAAGGACCTTCTACAAAGAGCAGTACTGAAAGATATACCTCAAAATTGTTCAATTACTTCCCCTGGATGAGTGTAATGTCAACAAATCCCTTAACACATCAATGATCCCCAGTTGGCATAACTACATTTAGTTCTAATTGATAGTGCTTTCCAGTGATGTGATACAGCAGCAGCTCTACTGCTGGTGCTGAACTACAGATGGCTCTGAGGTTTTTGAAATTAGATTTGCACATATTGACTAAAACCATGATAACATTTATATATGGGTTAGAGCAAATGTGTGTAGATCTTTTCTGATGCGATGTTATCAATGAAACTATTTACAATTGATGTTAATTGTTGACAGCAACGTATTATTTTTTTTCCCTCTGATTGGGTCCTTGGTGGTCCAAGATTGTCTTATATACAAGTACTGGTGCTCCAAGGAAAACATGTTAAGAACCACTGCTTCAGAGAATTCAAACAAAATGAAGAATGTTTTCTTTTAACTTTTGTAGGACAGCTTGTAGTTCTGGTATTTTTCAAACGACAAACTTCAATCACAACAGAAGAGGCAGGTATGTTAATCAATCCTCCATACATGTTTAGAAAATCTCCTTTTACAATAACTGTAGGTTACACTGTGCACATCTCAGTGTTGCTGTAGTGTGAAGCAAAAAGTATCCTAATGAATTATCTATGGCGCTTTTGTTAATGTACCTTTTTCTTTTCTTTAAACAGGTGAGTAGCGTTTAGAAACAGAGACCGACCTGCATGTGACGATGACTCAGAAGGAAACCTCTGAAGTCTTCTTAATGTCTCTGGTGGTTCTGCTGCTGGTTCTGATGGTTCTCTTGATCCTTTACTGGATCCTCAGAAGCAACAAAAACAGGTAGGGGAGCAGCCTCAGTCCGGCTCTTTCTCCCTGTCTCCCTCAATGAGGAAGTGGGGCCTGCTCTTTTGGATTAGGGCAGTGGTTACCCGTAAAAAAATTTTTTTTATCAAACTACAAATAGATTTTGAAAAAAATGTGTTTTGTTCCATTGAATTTCTCTGGGTCATGTCACCTCTGTTAGCCCCTCTGTTTGGTGCTCTGACGATTTATTTCTTAACCCACAGAAACCTCACAGTCCTGAAGATCTCAGCTGGCCGACCCACTCGCGTCCTGACCATCAGAACCGAGGCGGACCACGCCCAGCAGATGCTGGACCACTTGCTGGACCGAGTTTTTCTCCAGATGGAACGAGGACTACGACCTGAAGAGGAACCGGAAGCAGAATCTGGAGAGGTGCATGGATCAGACTCTGATGCAGGACCAGAAGCTTCAACATTTCCTGCTTTTCCCATCAGAGGTAGGTTGACCAATCAAACCTTTTCACGGCCTTAAGGAATTTGATTTTACCCGCTCATTAAAGACTCCTTCTTTTAAAGACTAAAACTAAAACCACAGGTCAAGAAAACTATTTAAAATTGTCCAAATGTGACAAAAATTAATTGAAGAACCTAATGGGAAACATACAAAAGAGTATCAGGGCCACATTAAGGGACAACAAGCTGAGATTTTGAAATTAAAGTTGTTATTTTAGTCTATAGTTATATCAGAAAAGCAGCCGCCGCTGGTACAAGAATGAGGAACATGGAGTATCTTGTGAAGTTATACTTTAGTAAAGGTTTCACAAACAAGGAAATACTTAATCTTTCAGCACATCAGCGTCACATTGTCATGATCAGGACCCTGGAAAGATGCTGCAAGAAACTGGAGCTTACTGAAGAAAGAACCTGACAGGGAGGAAGTTGACTCTTTCGTGGCAGAGGAAATGGCTTTTAGGGTTCCCCTTTCATCATTTTCACTCAGGCAGATGGCTGCTCTTCTGATACAACCTACATATAGCCTGTTTTAAATCGATTTACAAACTTAATATCGTTAATGAACAACTTTATTCTTGTAAATTTACGACTTCATCCTTTTAAATTTAGGACTTTAAAATCGAAATGTTGGATTTTTTTTCTTCAACGTTGCCCTAAAACTCCTCCGTAGAATAAGACAGCAGGAAATGCTTTTGTCTCTTTTGCATCCTAAATGTTTCCTTCCTTCAACTCTGACAGCAGCAGCGCCCCCTGCTGGCACTGAGATGAACTACACATTACTGAAACTAAAGCTTTTCTGCAGTGACTAAACTGTAAAATCCTGAATTAAGTTCGAAGCAATGATTACTGAGGTGTGATGCAGATGTTTTTTTCTCTGCAGCAGTTGACTCTTTTTATGACAAAATGAGCAAATGGGTCATCTTTACATTTCGTCCTCGAGGTGAGAAAAATATTTCATTTTTAGTCAGATTGTTATTTGCTTTAATCAAAAAGTAAAAGCGAAGTGAAATAACATCACAGGCCTCTAAAATTAGGTGTTTTAAATTTCTGCTAAAACACAGATTTTGCTGAATGATTTTCATTTTGTTTTCTTTAATATATTAAATTAAAATATTAACTACATTGTCTACATTCCAGCCTCACCTACTCCTCCTCCTAATCAGGATCAACCCATTCACCTCAACCCTCAGGAGTCTGACACGTCCCATCATGCATCTGTCTCATCTCAGGGAGCCTCCTGTAGCTCATGTGAGGATGAGCAGTGTGTTAAGAAATGAAAACATTTTTTTGAAAATAAAGCACCTGTTTCTTTTTGTAATTATTTTATTGGGTGAGTGTGTGTGTGAGTGTGTAAGGGTCCGAGTACATCAGTAGATTCAGTGTTTCAACTTAAGTAATAATCGTAGTTTCATAAGAAAAGGAAAACCATTTTTTTATTTAGTAGACCCTGTTTGCACTGTTCATTCACAATTACATTAAATGTATCTCACCGCAGCAACAAAAGCAAACTTAAAGCAACTTAAAATGAACTAAATAACTCTTTCTAATTTCAGTTATATTAGTCTTCCTGAGGAGGGCGATATGGAGCTGTTGGTGTAAGTGGATGAAGTAGTTTGGACATAGGTTAGGCATGCTGCAGGAACATCACTGTACTGTAACCTTGATTATGTTTGACGTCAGCTATCTGGGCAGAAAGCCCTCCTTTAAACTTTTAAAGTGAAGGACAAACAAAAATCTGAACGTCTGTGATGAGCTTAGTTGCAGTAAGAGCGCTCACTCTGACACAGAGGAAGTCATACGTCCACCTTAAAGCTTTATGATCTAATTTGACAATGTGGAAAAGTGTGGAAACCCATTATTAATCCATACCATATCAGACACTCCCTGCCCTATAAAACTCACCAACTGTCAAACTCATCGGCTCCAGTTGATGCAGACGTTCAGACGACTAACCCCGACCACTTACTAAATCTAAATGGGAACATTTAGTGGAATACATTTTTAATATTTGAAGCTATAATGGGATGGACTGGCACAGTGGTTCCCAAAGTGGGGGTTGGGACCCCCCAGGGGTCGCAAGCAAACCAAGAGGGGGGTCCCAAGATTCCTTTAAAAAAAAAAAAAAACATTTGAAAAAATGAATATTATTTAAAGGTCACATATTCTCCTCCTCTTCAACCAGAGTAAATCCGTCTCAGAGCTCCCCAATAATATGTCTGTGAAGTTTCTTGTTCTAAATCCACTCTGATCCTGAATTTGATCATGCCTATAAACCCCTCTATTTCAGCCCTGCTCAGAACAGGCTGTTTCTGTGTCTGTACCTTTAAATGTAAATGAGCTGTGTCTGACCACGCCCCCTCTCTGGAAGGGCTTGGGTGTCTCTGGCTTTCTCGCTCCATGTCCTATTGTTCACGGTGAGAAGGCAGACTCAGAGGCAGAACAAACACCTAGCTGTGGGAGTGTCACCCACCTGGGGGAGGGGTTACTGCCCTTTGTGATGTCATGAAGGGAAACTCTCCAAGCGGCCTGTTGGAGCACACACTTTCTGAGAGGATGGACTTTACTCATCATTGGGGGGTTTGTAGACAGACCAGAGACACATATTAGAGTTAGAACAACATGGTGAAGTGGATTTCGCATAATATGTGAACTTTAAAACTGTTATTTGCCATTATTGTACAAATTGATGCAAAGTAGTGGGCTGCTTAAAATGTCAGTTTGAACATGGCAGCAATGCATTGCTGGCTGCTCTTTACACATACAGATGCACACACCTGGTTTTTATATGTCCACTCAGTGTTAAAGTCTATACATGAAAATTACTTGTATTCTGCTTCAAGCCTTTCTTACAATAAATTACTATATAAAATAGTTGTATGGTTTTTAGGCTGTTGTGTTCTCTTTTGTTGTTATTTTGAGTAACCAGTGTTTGGGGGTCCCCCAGTCT